AAAGGGTCGTTACAAAAATTGTGGGCAGTTTTCATAGAATCAAAGAATTGTAGGGGTTGGAAGGGGCCTACAGAGATCATCGAGTCCAACCCCCTGCCAAAGCAGGTTCCCTACAGCAGGTCGCACAGGTCGGCATCCAGGCAGGTCTTGAACATCTCCAGAGAAGGAGACTCCACCACCTCCCTGGGCAGCCTGTTCCAGTGCTCCGTCACCTCACTGTAAAGAAGTTCTTGCGCACATTTGTGCAGAACTTCCTATGCTGCAGTTTCTGGCCATTTCCCCTTGTCCTGTCTCCACTCACCACTGAAAAGAGTCCGGCCTCGCCATTCTGCCCCCCACACCTTAGATATTCATAGACCTGGATCAGGTTCCCTCTCAGTCTTCTTTTCTCAAGGCTGAACAGACCCAGTTCACTCAGCCTTTCTTCATAGGAGAGATGCTCCAGGCCCTTCACCATCTTTGTGGCCCTCTGCTGGACTCTTTCCAAGAGATCCCTGTCTTTTTTGTACTGGGGAGCCCAGAACTGGACGCAGTACTCCAGATGAGGCCTTACCAGGGCAGAGCAGAGGGGGAGGATCACCTCCCTTGACCTGCTGGCCACGCTCTTTTTAATGCACCCCAGGATGCCATTGGCCCTCTTGGCCACAAGGGCACACTGCTGGCTCATGGCCAACCTGTCGTCCACCAGGACACCCAGGTCCCTCTCCGCAGAGCTCCCCTCCAGCAGCTCATCCCCCAGCCTGTACTGGTGCATGGAATTATTCCTCCCCAGATGCAAGACTCTACACTTTTCAGGCTCTCTAATAATTTTTCACAGATCAGAGACATGGACTTGCATTCATGAATGCAAGAAATGTGATAGCTTCAAAATTCATGGATATTTTCCATTAGTATTTACCCATGCATGTTGCTTTTACCTTTGGAGGAAGGTAGGGCAGAGAAAAAAAGAAAAACAAGAAAACAAATCAAAACATTAACTATGAATTGCTGACTAAGGAGTGTGATTGAGACAGCACTTGGAGAGAGTGGCAGGATTGATTTGAGTACAGGTTAGAGCTGCAGACACAATTAAATACTGTAGCCTGTTCCTGGAATGGAAATGTCAGAAGGGAGTGACTGAACATTTCTTGAACAAGCTGTGTGCTGTGTGTGTTGGATTGGAAAGTCAGTGCGCTGTGTACTCATTCATACAGCTTCTTTCTCTCTCTCTCTCTCTCTCTATCTATTCATACTCTCAAAAAGCAGAGAAACAAGGACAGCGGCAGAGTGTGTTCTATCTTGTCCTGAGCCTTTCCTAATGCATCATATACAGTAATTTCCATAGTCTCACTAAGAAACAGCAAAGACCATAAGTACATGCCTAACTTCTGTTTAACGCTCAAATTAGCAAGAAGTGGGAAGCTAGAGAGCTGGCACCAGGGGGCTCTGTCCTGTGGGGTGATGCCCTGATGCCATGCTCCATCTCCAAAGTACTTTGCAGGAAGAGTCTATCCTGTACTTCAGGACAACAAATGTCAAGTGCCCACTTGGGCTGTCTCTGGATATGGCACCAAGTTTCCTCTCTGCTTCAGTTACCCAACATGGTCCATGCCTCCTGTTCCAATGGAGCAGTGGGGTATGACACAGCACAGCAGCTCTGCGCTGCTCTTAAGAAGTGCTGCACTTTTCACAGTGTACAGTGTCCCCATTAGCAAGAAGAGTTTATAATCTGATTGTAAAGAATGTGAAGCACTTTTGGATTCTTCTGGATGAATGACAAATAAATGACAACAGGAAAGTTATTAACTGGCTGACATAACTGGCTCATTCAGGCTCCCAGATCTGCTCAGTATCTGTATGACCTCACCTCTGCTTGGGAGACAAAATTTTTACTTATTGGTTGGACAAATCTGAAAGAAAGAAAAAAAGAGAGAGAGAGAGAGAGAGAGAGAGAGCACTTTTTTTCTGGCCAGAGGAATGAGCAATGACAGCAGTCTGGGCAGGGCAGTCCACTGGTCAGCTTTGTCAGCTGGGGAGGTGACTTCAGTTGGACTCAGCAAAGGAAATATCTCCCTGGGACATGGCCTAGCAAATAGGACCTGCATCCATGTGTTTAACTCAGCCTTGTTTAGGAAAGGGAAGATGGGCAGGGCTATGGGGGATGTGGGGAAATATGAAAATGGATGGCTAAATGAAACGCAAGTTTTACCTTCCACCAAGGGCAGGTATGCCAAGCAAAGGATTGCTCAACACAAGGTGAATTGCAAGTGAAGATGGGATTGCAAGTGAAGCTGGGAGTAAGGGAGAACAGATATTCTGTTGAGTTTCCTAATTTACAGTTACAGCTGCACTATTGTGCTTTCGTTTCTTTTGACAGAGTGTTATGTCATGAGGCCTAGGAGATCACCAAAACAAACCATACACAAAGAGAAAACAACTGGCTGGGCTTTCTGTTAACAATCACCAACATGAAGACAACTCATTACACATGAGGACAGGGTGTTTCTTTTCAGCCTCACACCATGAGCACACAGAAGACAATTTCACTGTTAACAAGCACTGAGCATTGCTGTGGATCCTTCCTCACACGTAAGGGTTGGGAAAAGCCCACTGACACTTCCAAGGGAGACAAAAGCCTGGTGTGGCATACATGTCCAAGGTAGGGTCTTCTCCAGGCAGAGTTCTTCAGCTGTGCTACTGCCACAGAGCAGTGGAGACGCATAATGGTAGAGGTGATGCTGTGCCCATCAAGTCAGCCCATCTCATTTTGGCTTCTTATCCCAGATCCACTTTGCTCATACCCAAGATCAGTAAGGCTGATCCTGAGGTTTTCCCTCAGGAAAAACTGAGGTATTTAATCCTCCAGAGTCTTTCTGGGGTTGCCAGAGGAGACTTAAGCCAGGAAAAAAACAAGATAAAAATTTGGACTTTGATAAAAGGCACTTAGGCACCTCACTGTATTCATTTCAGAAGAATTAGGTACCTAAGCAGCTTTAGAAAGCTTGCACATACTCATCGAATGAGGAATTTTGTCATTTCAGATTATTACTGCATTCCTCTGTAGTCAGCAACAAATGCCAGTTTAGAAATAGGAAGTGATTGCTGAGAGGCAAGAGGAACAGGATGAGATTTCTGTTTATTTTACACAGGGAATTGGCAGTGGCTGTCTCTGCTGACTGCAGTGCTACTCACATTCCCACATTCTCAATCCCCCTCCAGCCTCAGGCATCCCCCTATCCCGTGCCACTGCTTAGGCCTTAAATGTTCACTAAATTTTTAGGTATCATTTAAATGTGAGAATTATCTTTTTAATATGCCATTACATATTCAGAAGTCTGATTAGATTTCTAGTAGAAAAACAAATTTTCCCTTTCTGTGACATAATTTTGAAAATATTGATGACTCCATTGTTAGTATTGACTTGCTAGTACAGATAAAATATAAAAACACCAAATTCCGATTAATTTCTCCTATGCTTCAGAATTCGTATGTCAACAAATGAGAGGAAACATGTCTCATATCTTTTCTTAAAGAGGGAATTTAATCAAAGAATCACAGAATCACGGAACCATAGAATCACAGAATCACAGAATCACAGAATCACAGAATGGTTTGGGTTGGGAAGAACTTTAATGACCATCTAGCCCCCCTTCTTTACTTTTAAAGCCACTTCCCCACTACCTGCCCTTCTAATGGACAGGTCGAATAATTTGTTCCCCAAAGCTAATGCCTGGCTTCTAATATTGGATCAAATACAGTACTGGATCATCTCCAGATTTAAAGATTTTTCCTTCCAGATCAATTTCTCTATTATTACAAAGTATACAGTACACCACTCAACTAGATATTTGCAGTTCTTCAAGAGTCTATAATGTGAACAATATTTGCTAGTTGTTCCCTAAATGGCCTCCTGGAATTTTGCCTGGGATTAAGTGTATTGGCTGATGTTGGGTCATCTGAGTTGTTGCCATTATTTTGTTCTGAAAAGTAAATGACTGAAGAAGGCATAATTATATTTGCATATACCCATTAAATTGAATGTGATTAGCTAAAAGCCAATACTATTTGACTACTTGCATAATTTTATAGGCATAATGTGCATTAGCAGTTCATTATTTGCTTTGCGATTTCTCAGCCTTGTTTAGTTTTGGAAGATTTAGCATATAACTCTTAAAATAAAAATATGCTGACTTCACTCTGACTTGAGAGGTCAATTATTGTTTGGACATCCTCCATGTTTGCTTAGAATAAGAATTAACAATCTCTGAATTTATACATGGCCTCACAGTAAAGAACAGAAGATGACATTTCAGGTTATCCAAACAAATATTATCTCTGTGACCTTGCTTCAAAAAGGAAGAAATTTTAAAAATTCTGAGCACTATTTTCTTTACCACTAACAGCAAACACCAATGTTAAGCTGTTAGACAAAAACTGCAGTCATATCTTGATAGAGTCCTGATGCAAGCCTCAAACCCTACAAAGTGTTGGCATTGTGATTACCAACACATGAAAACACTTTCACCTATTGTCACTCTCTCACTATGCCACACAGGATTCATGCTCTGAGGGACTGTAACTCCAGGAAATACTGCCTTCCTTTCTCCCCTTAATTGCAGACACATCTCCAAAAATTTCCACCCAGCTGTTAAAATGGGACACAGAATTGGACTTGGGTAACTTGCCATCATAAGTACCTCCTGAAACTCCCACAGAGTTGGTTATTCTACCATTTTGTGCACTGCTGCTTTGCAGAGGACTAAATGCCACTTAAGAATATATTTTGCCCATAATGTGTAGTACCTTGTAGTGACTGTCTTTAACTGAATTAAACTGAAATACTGAGCTGAGAGGTTCTCATACAGCTTCCTAGACTTGGAGAGTACTATAATAAGAAGAACTAGATGGTTTCAAATTCTGCTCCTAACTTGTCTGCTACTTATCTGCACTTTCTCTTAAGGGCAGCAACTTCAAAGATGAAGATTTTCCATTCTAATGGTTTGCCACATTTTGTGTCATAGATTAATAGAATCCCAGAACGGCTGAGATGAAAAGGGACCTCTGGACCATCTGATCCAAACCTTCCTCAAGCAGGGACACCCACAGCAGAGCACCCAGAACCACATCCAGGCAGCTTCTTAAGACGCTAACGAAGAGATTCCCAGGGTGGAAGCCTCCCTCCTTTTTAGAGTGGAAAAGCTCACAGAGGAATGCAAAGCTATCCAAGGGAGCAGGAAGAGGCTTAATTCATTGCTGTAAATCAGCACTCAGCCACCAGTGTGGCAGCAATGTGGTTGGTTCTTCCTGTGAATCTCTTCCTGTTTGAGAAACTGGACAATCTCTAACAACTACTGACTGCTGCATTTCTTTGGTCCTGTTTGATTTGGACCTCTAATTGTTGCTGTTTAGTTTTAAGTTCCCAGCAGACTGTGCCTGGGATTAATTCTCGTTAGGAATGGAAATATCATAGGCTTTTTGCAAATATGATTTCTGTTTTTTTGGGCACTTCTCATGACAAATGATTTCAAGTGACCTCTTCCTGGCTGCGTACTTCACACTGATGGATTCTCTCTTGCATTTCAGACTTGTGATATTCATGCCTCCTGAGTTGTTCTGCCATTGAGACAGAACAAGATGCCACAGTACAGAGATATCATCTTATCTGCACTGGTAGCTCTTTCCCACATGCATCAAATCCGGCCACATTTTTCATTTGTACCAAATGTCAACGTCCATTCCCTCACCAAACTGCAAACCACAACATTCCTTTTTTTTTTTTTTATTTAACTTTGCTCAACTTTCTCTCAGTGTTCATCCTTTTTTATATATTCCTGTAAGCAATGTTCATTGACTGTCAACATCAGACTGGGCCCCTTAAAGAATATTTTGTTGTTGCAAGGGGTCTATTGTCTCTTGGGTCCTGAGGAGATGCAAAGGCCAGTGTTTCTACATATCAGTACCTTTCATGAGTTCTACTTACACTTCTCATGAATAAGCCATTTGCTGAGAGACAACAACCTTTAATGGATTTCTAGCATCCTGTGCTGCTGTACAAAAGACAACATTTTTCAAAGGCCACTGGTAATTACATACCACAATTTGCCAGTCTGATAGGGAATGATTTCAAGTTCTCAAAGCCCACAAAGCATAACTGTTTCACACAGAGGAGTCCAAGCAACCAGAGGAGCAGTTCTGAATTTCCAGAGTGCAATTCCTATCCCCTGAATGAAAGAAGCCATTTGACAGCTGCAAGTCTGGTCTGCAGTAACTGCTCAGGTCTCCTCTGTAGTAGAGTGAGACCTCCAAATTCAGGTCATTGATAAAGGCCAACTAGAACATGGCTAAAATCTGGGGAGGTGTTATGTCAAAACCTGAATACATTAATTCAATCTCCCCTCATGTGACAGCTATGTTTCCCATGTTTCTCTGATTCCGTCTCTGTATGCCTCCTCTTCTTCCACTTTCCTTTTTTCATGTTTGTTCTGACACTTTCTGTTCCTCTTTCTTCCATGGTTGCCTTATGTCCTCTCTCTCAAAAAATGCCACTTTGGCTATTATGCTCTTTGCCACCAGAAAAGTATTAGATGACAAATATTAGATATCCGCTCCTGGCTGGCACTACTGGAGGTCCTCTACAGCTCATTTTCTCTGTACATAGCTGTACAGTTTTCTCACTATCAAAATACCCATGGGTTCTTCAAAGCCCACACTTGAAATATGACCTAGGAAAAAATGAGTAGAAAACTAGAATATAATGAGTTCTTTAACATTGCTGATGTTTTTACCTGAAAGAGACAAACTCTGTCAGTGAGCTTCCTCAATGAGAGCCCAGAAGAGACTCAAAACCACACAAATAATCTTGTAAAATAAAGTCAGCACATATTTTTCTTGTAGGAATGGAAGGGAAATTACATAAAACTTGTAGATTTGCACATCTGTGAGAGAAGAGAGGCAAAACCAAGACACTCCCATTTGACCCGAGCACTGTGTACAGATTGTTGATGCATTAATATTTTCACGTTAAAAAGAGTGACAGAGCTTTGAGAAGAATCTGGGTGCATGAACAAGTAGCACGAACTGGAGATTTGTTCATCCACTTGGACCTGCCTACTCCAAGGGATGTTGTGTCCACTCCAGGCTACATGGACTTTCCATTCTGTAACAGGTTTGGAAGATAGCTCTGGGTTGCTATATATCCGAATCATGGCCATCTGACTTGCTTCATGGACCCAAGGTAAGTGTGCACCACTTGGCTCTTCACCACTGCATGCAGCCATTGACAGGAGGGAACCCCACTGTATGAGCCCAGCAGAGGTTACCACAAAAATACAGGACTCGTGTTCTCTGTTGCCACAATTGTGCAACATAACATAGATGTCAAATCTCAGAGTGCATTTCCATTAGTAAGCAGGTCAAAGTCCCTACAAGGCAAGTAGTCCTGAGCGGGGAGACACAAGCTCATGGGGAATTCACTGAACACACCAGCCCTTATGCAGAAACCACCGACACATTCTCACACACTCAGGAGCCCCTGACACCAGAGGCATCCCGGAGGGAGCAGGGACTGATAATACAGCCAACTCTCATGACTTTATCTTGAGTCTTACAATGATCAATGTTTATTTTAAAGTTCCTGAAGTTATAGTCTCATAGACTTAACAATAATTGTCCTGGGAGATGATGCATAGTGGATTATCCACTATTTCCCCAAGTCTGTTCTAGTGATCTGCATTTCCTTCTGTGTTCTTCATCTTTCCCAGACCAGTTCTGACTTCTATCGTACTGAGGCATGTACTGCCCAAATGGACCTTCTTAGCTGATCAGTCACTATGTCTGCATGCACGGTCTGTTCCTCTCATTGTTAACTGCAGTGTCCGTGTTTATGACATCTATAGATTTCACCAACTGAAATCACACCACTTCCTTCAGACTGAGTGAATGTACTGGGTTACACTGGCTCAAGTGCAGTCACCATAGGTTGCCTCACACAGTTCTTCTGTTGGATGAGCATCTGACATTTACAGCCACTCTTTAATATCCATCATTTCATCCACTTGATATAGACTTTGGCCATTTCACCTACTATATATGTATTTTTTTTACCAATTTGTCACACTCAAGTCTACAAGTGATTGTTTCTGGGTATGAGAGCATGATAATGCACCAGCATGTTTATTTCAACCAGCAATGAATCACATCTGTTTGAGCCAGGATGCAAATAGCATTATTTACATCCACCACAAAGATGGGTAGCCAGTTACCTTTATGAGGTTACAGTCTCATCAACTTGAAAACTGTTAGAGGAAAAGGAGTTCTATCAACTTTGTTAGCCTGTCAACTGGCATTAACTACATTGCCCTCCTTTTCTAGTTGTTTCCCATATCTGCTCCATGATGTCTGGCCTATGTCTGTGTATGATTATGTGGGAAACATAGCTTATATTTGAGATAAAATAAATATTTAGTCTTTAAAGTTTCAACACAAAACCTAAAACCCCAAAAGCTAATGAAAAAACTCAAAGTTTATAATTTGGTAATCTCATGGCTTTTAAGATGTTTTTGTGAATTTCTGGAGCCTGTTTCCATGAGTAGTGGGGTTGGTCAGCAGTGTCTTTTGCCCCAGCAAGACAATTTGGGGAAGGTCTCCTGGATATCCTCTGCACTGTCTGAGGTGGCTCCCAGCCTGTGAAGCAAAGACAACGCTGAGCAACAATACTTAAGTATAAACACTTTAAACATATGTGCATGTAAAGTTTGCAGAATAAGACAGAAGAACACATTGCAGGAGAGAAAAGGAACAGCAGTCATTCAGTTCCTCTAGCCTTCACCACCATCATCAGCCCCAAGCAATGATCTTCTCAGGCTCTACAAGAAAACCCCTTCTTGCCCATGTCTGCTTGCTAGATAAGTTCTAGTGTGTGCAAATGCATGCACTAATGAATTTAAAAAAAAAAAAAAAAAAAAAAAAAACTTTTTGCTGATTACCAAGGGGAAGAATTATGCATTAACGGAAAGAAACCAAAAGCCAGTGCTGGAGTGCAGTGATGAGCCAGGAATTCACATGAGCATTCCCTGCGTTCACATTTGTATGTAGGGCAGTCAAAGTTACACAGCTCATGCCCTAGGGAGTCACTGTACAGCATAATTAGGGTTAGGAAGACTGAAATATATTTGACTGATTCTCACTGTGTGAAAATATTAACTCCCCTAGTTAAATCATCAGTTTCAGAGCATGAAATTTCTAACACTGGATATTCTAGTGCTGCAGACAAAACCTCTGAAGAAACAAGGAGGGAGTCTTTTCTGAGGAGGATCGCACTCATGGGAATGAAGTACACAGCAGAACCTGGATTGCTGGACTCTCCTACTGAGTTAAATGTGGTCAGTTCCTATTTCAACAAACTTCATAGTCTCCAAAAGTAGCAGCAACAGGAAGTTAATCTGTGTATTTCTTACCACCCCAACTCTGAACAAGCCTAGAGCTCTCCTACGGTATGTGCGGTACACAGACAGGACAGGACAGGATTAACATAATTTAAAGACATGCAGAAGATGAGAAGACAAAAGGAGTCAAAAAGAAAGGGTACAAGCTTTCCACATTTTCTGAGACACAGAACATTCAAAGTCAACCTCAAAGCATCCAACGCTCAGCCCAGCCATTAGCTTGGGGAATTCCTGTAACATGACACTTTCTCCTTGAAAGAAAGCACACACCCTCTAGTAACCCACAAAGAGATTGGATGAAATAAATGTAGACATCTATATAATATTTACACACATGAGAAAAGTAGTCTGAGTTTCCTTTTAGCTCCGTTAACCAAAAAAGGGCTGTCTTGCTCCTAGGTTTTTCTGGTATTCTTCCTGGGATGCTTTAGAAATCTATCCAATAGAGAAGCTGTTCAGTGCTAACAGCAGAGGGCCAGGCTTCAGAAGCCAAACAAAACAGCCAGAGTACAGACTTCTGCCACTGAGAGAATTCTACAATTCAGCCTTCTCTCATCTGAATTGCTTTTAAACAAAATCCTACAGGATATTAAAACTAGCTCAGGCTGATTGCCTCCAGTCCAAAACAAAAATCTGAGAAATTCTGATAGAAACATCTGTACATCTAAAAACTTATATAGCTACAAAGCTGCAGCTTTATATGGAGACACAGGGGACATTCATTTATCTTCCCAAATGCCACCCCATCTTCCATTAATTTCTCTTTAGGCTAGGACACTGCAATATGTGTATTTTCTTGCTTGCTATTCTATTACAAAATCGAGAATCAAAAAACTGTCTCCAGTTACTATTCTTCTCCTACATCAAAGAGATCTGAAAAAATCTCGCCTAATTTTTTGACACTAAATTTGAAAACCAAAACAAAATTGACTGAGGTGAAGTCTTTATGAAGTGAAATGTGTATGTGAGATTTCCTGTTGAGACTTAAAGTTAGAAATGGAAAAGAGATAGGTCTGGTTCCTGTCAAAAGCAAAACTTTCAAGCTATCTTACTTTCCAGCTGTTTGGGATTGCAAAATAA